TCCTAATCTATGATTTTGGGATCCTACTTGTATCGGCTGTGTCTGAGGTGGTGGCTGTTGAGGAGGAAGTTGTTGGAAGACCTGAGGCTGAGGTTGAGGTGGAGAAATATTCTGAGGCTGATACTGCTGTTGTGGCTGTTGCTGCATATATTGTGGGACCTGCATTAATGGACCAAAATCGGATTTATTACCTTTGCATGGAATAAAGTTTACATAGGAGAAGCTCACTTGGAGTTGTTGAGACAAAAACAATGGCGGGGTTTGAGGAATTTGCTGTTGATATTGAGGCAGTGGATATCGCTGTTGGGGTGGTGGCTGAGGTGAGTAAGCATAGGGATTAGGCCCTTGTTGGTAGCTTTGCTGAAAGTTCTATTCTAGAAGATTCTCATCGGTAAAAGTCTACATCATTTTCTGGTTGCAAGAAGAAGTGCTTAGGTGAACTACCTAGAGAATGCACAAGTAGAAAACCGTTTGCTTGTGCTTCTGTTAACTTTTTAGCGCTATGCTCTGTTTTCCATGTAAACCAGAAAAATCTAAATGTTTTCAGTTACACATTTTCTTTGTTTCCAATGATTTATCTTTTTTTTCCAGTTGGAGCTGGTGCTCGAGAATAATTGCTTGAATTTAACGGTTCAAAATGCCTGTACACAGTTGTAAAGTACCTCTAAAAGTCCTATGATGAACTTCTTCGCTAATTTGTTCATTGTCTTGTTATGAGGGTAGTGTGGTTCTTCAATGGTAATGAGCCACTTTGTTTCTCAAAATTCCCCTTAAAAAATCGAATAGCCATGATAGTGCGCTGTTAGGATTTCGAGTAGTGCTTTACAAAAGGTTGCAAACTCAGCTTTGTCCAAACTGCCGTCGGAATTTCGGCGGGGAAACTTTTTTTCTTGAGAACACAGATGGAAGATTTGAAGGCACGAAAGTTGCGCTTAGGCATAATAACCTGAGGAGTACTGAGCGCTCTTATTGAACAGCTGAGAACTTTTGTGTTACACCTAGGAAAATGTTTAAGCGTTGCAAAACTTGAATGGCATAACCCAATAAATACTTGCAAATTAAAAAATTTTGACACAGAAGTGTTTGTGGATGCGTCATCACACTCACCAATTTTTTTGAAATTGCAGTTCAGTTTCCAAAAGCTTATTGGTCTATTTTCCGCTGTTCTTAGTTTTGTTTACCAAGCTGTCATTGGAATTATGTGGTATTACTGAGATTCCAAGAGTTTTTTAGTTTCGTCAATTGGCCGATGTTACCGGAATTTGATTGTGCTGCAAGTACTAGGTGGCGCAAGAAGCGTATGTGAATCCTAGCTTTCACCTGATCAGCCTGGAACTTCTTGGGTTGAGCATTAATACAGTTATTAAAAGTAGCGATGAAAGTGTGGAACTACAAGCGGAGCTGACTTGAAGATTAGAAAATTTATGATATAGGAAAAACATACAAAGAGTTTTCTTGCAAATTTCAAATGCGAAAGCACATTTTTGCATAAAAGGGTGCTGTCTACACTTTTGGAGCTTCAAATATCTGAGATTTCCGGTCTGCCTACTCGTCACTCACTTTTGCATAGTCAAATACGTGCTCTTGAAGGGGAAAGAATTAGCGATACTTTTACCTGATCGAATCAATGGTGACATGTGATCGCCATATAGTGCAAATCCCAAAGTAATGCGATTTGGATTTTTAATGGTTGAAAAAAACTCGCCTGAACCGGTTGCTGAGGTAAGAACTGCGGTTGCGACTGGTAGGATTGCGACTGATCATACTGTCGCCATTGTGGAGGGTACTGCGGTTGAGGTGGTACGTACTGCTGCTGTTGTGGATAGTATTGTTGACTCGCTTGTTGATAGTACTGGCCGTGTGCAACAGCTAGCGCTAAATAATTCTGGCTGAAATACCCAAAAAATAAAAAATTTGAAGTTGGAGTTGAATTCTCCGATTTATCCTACCTTGACCTGAATATGTTACAAAATCACTCAAATCTTAACGCCTACAGGCGAAATCTTCTTTTTTCTTAAATCTGAGCAAAAAAGATCTCTTTAAAGGGTTTGGGAAAGATGAGCGGGAAGCTGCGAGCGGTTCTATAGCTTCGTGCAATCAAACAAGTTCTTCGCCATGCAACAAATAGTAAATGGCATTGTGACGAAACTAGTATTCATATCGTAGATAGTTTCCGCTGGATATGAATTCGCTTATCTAACGAAATTATCTATGAATGCATATGAAAACTTGTGTCGCATGACAAATGATGTTAGGGGCTTTGAGCAGCTCAAAAGTCACTTCAAAATGTTCTCAACTCAACAAGACTTCTCCATACTTTACCAAAAAAGAAAAAAAAA